ATTGTCGGGCTTGCCATCTTCAGCTTCTTCCCTTTGCTGGCATCCTGCCATAAAGTGCGAGGGAGGGAGGAGGCAATTGGGGAGGTATAACGGTTGGGCATGGGAAGAGTTGAGAAAAGGAGAGGGGAGACAAGCTGACACACTAACAGGAACCAGAGGTGTTGATCTGGAATAAGCCAGCGGCCAAGGACAAATAGCCTGAGAGAATGGAATGCTACAGTACACTGAGAAGCACCAAATATCCACACCATTCCCATAACATCAAACACAAATGCTGTTAGACAGTGATGAGCTGGTCGGGGGGAGGGAGGGCCAGGGGAAAGAGTAAATTGTAACCTTTGTGTGGGGATCCAGCTCTGCTTTTGCTGTAGCCACTCGACTCTAGTAAAAGAACCTTTCACTTCAAGGAAACGGAGTCGAGGGTCTTTCTTTCCTAAGTGTCCAAGTTGGGACAGACCTGACAGTGATTCTGTTTCTCCCTTTAGTGAGGGGAGTAGAAGGGGAGAATGACTCCCACTGAAAAGGTACCCAGACTTAGATTTGCTGGAGCCCCCACCCAGCTCTTCCTGGCCCTGAGAACCAAGCTGGAATTTGAGGCTGGGGAAGAGACCCTCCTTCCCGAAAGCCCCTCTGGTGAAGTCAAGCCTCCCTTTCCCACAGTCCTCCCACTAAAGGCAAAGGGCCTTTCGTGAACCTGAAGGGGCCAAACCGGATAAAGTCTACCAGACACTTAGCAACAATAATGACACGTTGATATCTGCATGTCATTTACATAGTGCATAAGACCATATCCAAGCAAATAATTTGTTTCCATCATGCATACACAGAGAGAGGCTTTAAATAAATCTTCCGTTCTAAAGTGATTTTGGCAGAAGCGCGTTTCAAAAGGTTAGGTGAGTCATAATCCAAGCCAATCAGCAGCAAAGGGAGGCTGAAGCCATCCTCGGGGGGGGGATTGTTCCACGGCTCTGCCGAAGAGCCAGTCGGGATGGTTTTGCTCCTCCGGGGTGTGAGATGGGCAAGATGTGTTTTTTTTTTTTACATTTACTAATATTTCCCCAGCCTGCTGATTTCTCACGGGCCCTTTGGCTCTAATTCTGACAGTGCTTTTATTGTTAGGAGAATGATATGCATGGTTCACAAGTATAGATAGGTGTATAAAAGGTGGCATATCCACAGGTTCACCCTGTCAAGTGCCAGAAAAGCCTAATTTGCACCCACACCATTCCTACCCCAGATATTTGGGGCAGGACTTTCCCAACATCCTCAATCCATGTTCATTTTCCATGCTCTCCAAGAATGTGTGGGAATGACCTTGGGAGGCAGGACACCAAGAAAGCTCATTGGTTGCGCTTCCCATCTGGCCTATCTAGTAAGACTGACATTATCAAGGCTGAAGCAAAAGTATGTGCATTGTAGTCAATCACATCTGGGTATAACAGAATAAAAACAGAAGAGTTGGAAGGGACCTTGTAGGTCATCTAGTCCAACCCCCACCCCCACCCAAGCAGTATACCCTACACCATTCCTTGACAGATGGCAGTCCAGTCTCTTCTTGAAAGCCTCCAGGGATGAAGCTCCCACAGCTTCTGAAGGCAACTTCTGTTCCAGCGGTTGATTGCTCTCCCTGTCAGAAATTTTCTCCTTATTTCCAGGTTGAATCTCTCCTTGATCAGCTTCCATCCATTGTTCCTTGAGACTTATGATCACAATTGAGCACATTTCTGTTGCTCACAAGATGGTGGTTAAGTGAGTTTTGCTCCATTTTGTGACCTTTCTTGCCACAGTTGTTGACTGAATCAACCATTAAGTTAGTAACAGACTTGTTAAGTGAATCTGGCTTTGACTTGGCTTGCCAAAAAGTCACAATAAGGGATCACATGACCCTGGTCAACCATCACAAATACGAGTCAGTTGCCAAGCATCTGAATTTTGATCACATGACCATGGGGATGCTGCAACGGTCATAAGTATGGGAAATGGTCGTAAGTCACTTTTTCCAGTGCCATTGTAGCTTTGAACAGTCGCTGAATGAACTGTTGTAAGTAGAGGACCTCCTGTAGCGTTTCTTTGGGCATCCTGGAGAATTGGGGTGAATGGTTGTGCTTTGGGATATAAGTAAAAGTTCCTCTCGCACATCCGTGCTAGTCGTTTCCGGCCCTAGGGGGCGGTGCTCCTCTCCATTACAAAGCCGAAGAGCCAGCGCTGTCCGAAGACGTCTCCGTGGTCATGTGGCCGGCATGACCCTTAGACCCATTGAACTTCTCATCCAAGGCAAGAACCCCCCATTATATCCCCCCCCAACCATTCAACCTCTGTTGAAACCCCTCCAGTGAAAGAGACTCCACCACCTCACAGGGCATCCCGTTTCATTGCAAAACAGCTCTTATGGCTGGGAGGTTTTCTCAGTGGCCTCCCAAAACCTCTACTCTTGTAAATTAAACTCAACTGTCAGCAGCTGTTTCTCATCTTCTATATGGCAGCAGCTCTTCGGGTGGCTGAAGACAACTATTGGGTCCCTGGCTGCAACCTTCTCCGAAACAACCCAGGACTACCAGCCATTTCTCATGGGCGTCTCCTTCCAGGCCCTTCATTATATTCGTCCTCTCCTCTGGATAGGTAAAGGTAAAAGTAAAGGTTCCCCTTGCACATACGTACGTGCTCGTTGTTTCTGGCTCTGGGGGGGGGCGGTGCTCCTCTCCGTTACAAAGCCAAAGAAGAGCCAGCGCTGTCCAAAGACGTCTCTGTGGTCATGTGGCCGGCAGGATTAAACACTGAAGACGCATGGCAGAACGCTGTTCCCTTCCCACCAAAGGTGGTCCCTGTTTTTCTACTTGCATTTTTCTTTTCTTTTTTTAAATAAATTTTTATTATATTTTCCACCAATATAAATCATATTTTATCTATGACAGGATTTGACATCGACTCATGTAGTCATCTTATAAATCATCTTATATTTTATATACATCAACCAATAACTATTATCTCTATCTATAATTATTTCTATCTTATATATTTATATATTTTATATATCTACTATATATATCTATATCTACTATATATATATATTATATCTACTCTTAAGGTCTCTTATATTAATTACACTAATCCATTCTTCTTATTTCTTGTATCTATTTTCTAATCATTCATACCATTTATGCCAAATTGAGTAACATTCGGAGTTTTCTTGTCTTTCATTTCTAGCGTAAGCATATCCATTTCCGCACTTTCCAGTATTTTATGTAAAACTAAGACTTCCGGCGGGGTGTTACTTGCATTTTTACATGCTTTCAAACTGCTAGGTTGGCAGAAGCTGGGACACTTCTTTTCATTTGAGAGATACCCAATTTCTTTGTGTGTTTTAATCTCCAGCCCCCTAAATTTAGCCTCCAGCTCCCTCATCTGAGCTGCTAAGATCTCCCTGGTGGGATTGATTCTACTGCCAGAGCCTTGGGGTGCATCTAGTGCTAAGACAGACAATAAAATCCAAATATCAGAATGTGTTCCAGGGAGCCAAGCCTCCAATGACTGTCCATAGCAGGAATTGACCACTGGGGTTGGGAGCCCTTGGTCCTCTTGCCCACGGAGGTCTTGGCGTTTCAGGAATCCCTTTCTTCCGCTGAAATCTCCTTTTCTTTTCTCCTAGAGATGCACAAGACTTTTTATCTCACCGTTTGAGCCTTTTGTTGGATTCCTCTTTCATGGAAAAGCCCTCGGCCTGAGGAGCTCAGCTCCTGTTCTGCATGCTTGGCTCTTCCTGGCTCCAGAAACCTGGACTTTTAAAGGCAGACCTGCCCCCGCCTGCCTCTCGCTGCGTTGGGCAACTGGTTTCCTCCGGGGCTTGGCAGGGCAGAAATAACTGGGGGAGCTGGGAAACAATATGGGGAAGTGCTGCTGCTAAACACGTGTGCCAATCCCTTCCTTCACCTCCCTATAATCAACAACCGCACAAATCTTGACCCAGGGAAAGGACAGGCTGGCGGGGGGACGTTGTGACTCTGCAGCCCCACCTCGGGCTGGTTTTCCATCACTTGATGGTTCTTCCTAGGTACGCAGGTGGGACAAGGAGCCCCTGGAGCAGCGTCTCCACTCCATCCTGCTCCGTTTCAGTTTGGGGGCTTCTGCTCGCTGCAGCAGCCTTGGCTGAATCCTCTCTAGCCGGGGCTGCCCTCCGCTTTTCCAGCCCGTGGGCGTCTCTGCCCCAAGGGGCCACCGGCCCTTTACCTGTTGGTTAAGCCCCCTCCCGACCCACCAAAGCCGCGCAGGGAGTGTTCGGGCTTATTGGCAGATAGCGACACCAGCCTCAAGGGATGGATCCAGCTTTGGACCCGGGGAAGGGGTGGCGCGGGTTGGGCTCCTGGCGAGAACGTCCCGGGGGGATCAGCAGCCTCCCTCCGGGGGCTTCTGCGCCGCCGGGTCTTTCCCTGCCCGTTTCCAGCCCCCGGCGCCCCTTCCCCAGCGGTAAAGGCGGGGCGGGGCGGGGCGGCGGAGGGGAGGGGCGGCAGGGGCGGGGCGGCGGCTCCAGGCTGGGCCGGGCGGGAGCTGTCCGCTTCAGCACCCTCCGGCCGGGAGCGCTCCCCGCCTGCCGCCTGCGCAGGGCTCCCGGGGCCGGCCGGCTGCTGGCGCGGGAGGCGCTGCTGCCGTGACGGGCTTCCTGCCTCCCTCCTCCCGCCAGCCGCGCCGCCGCCGCCGCCGCCGCCGCCTCCCCTCGCCGCCTGCTGCTCGGGCGGGCTGGCGCTGGCTCCGGCACACGCAGACCGCGCGCCGCGCTCGCCGGAGCCCTCGCCTTCCCTCCCGCCGCCGAGCGCGCCCGGGGATGGGACTCCGGCGCCGGGCTGCTCCTCAGCCGCGCGCCCCGTCCCAGCGGGGCCGGGCGGGCAGGGAGTCCGCAGCGGGGCCGCGGCTCGCCGGCGCGGCGCCTGCTCGGGGCTGAGCGCAGCCTGGCTCGGCCGGCCGGCTGGCCGCTGCCCGCCCGCCCGCCCGCGGGGCCATGCGCGGCGATGAGGATGTGTGAGCGCGGCGTCCAGATGCTGATCACCACCCTGGGCGCCTTCGCCGCCTTCAGCCTCATGACCATCGCGGTGGGCACCGACTACTGGCTCTACTCCCGCGGCGTCTGCAGGACCAAGTCCAGCAGCGACAACGACACCAGCCGGAAGAACGAGGAAGTCCTGACGCACTCGGGCTTGTGGCGGACCTGCTGCCTGGAAGGTAGGCATGCGGGCGGCCCTGGCTCGGCTGGCGGTGGGTGGCGCCGGGCGGGACAGGCCGCCTCCTGACCTGCTCCGGCCGCCGCGCGAGGCGGTCCCGCCGGGCGGCACCCCCCCCCCCCCGGGGCCCGGGGCGGGGGGGGGGCCCCCGGCCGGGCCCCCCCCCCCCCCGGCGGAGCCAGGAGCGGAGAGGGCGCTCCAGGCCGGGCTGCACCTGTTGCCCCTGCGCGCGTGTCCGGCCGAAATTAGCCCGAAGCCACGCGAAGGAGGCTGCCTGTCGGGGTGCGGACAAGGCTGGCCTGGTGGGCGCTTGCAGCTGCTGCAGCCGCGGGGAGGGCGGACTGCGGACGCCCGGGGGCCACTTGGCTCCTGGCTCCTGGGTAGCTCCTCCTTGGCGCCGGTCTGCTGCGGCAAGGAGTCACAGAGGAGCAAATGCAGTGAGCTAGAGGTCCTTCCTCCCATCCTTCCTCCCCATAGGCGTCTCCTAAAGGAAAGCCAGAGGTTCCTTTCTCTGCATGTTACCCACTTGAAATCTCACAGTCCTAACACTACACACACACACACACGCACCACACACACACACACACACACACACACAAAGACAGACAACAGGCAGAGTGCGTGAAGAGGTGGAGCAGCAGGTCTGCAGGTCTGAAGCAAGTCCCCACTTGGCCGGTTGGTGCCTCCGTCTGAAGCCCCTGGCACAGCGGGTTGCAGTCTTTTGTGTCAGGGTTCCTCGGAAGGAAGTCTGTTGCGAGCCAGGCAGCCCCAGCTTCCCCAAAGCTGAGCCTTGAAACGTGTTTGTCCAGGCGTGGGTACAATGTGTGTGTGCCTGCCTGCGTGTGTACATCCCCCTCTGGGAAGCAGTCCTGCCTCTGTCCACTGGTCTTCCAACCCCCCAGACAGAGGAAGGGATGCATCTAGACCCACACACACCTCAGGAACTGCAGCAGGAATCAAGGTGGGAGAAGAGGGCTGCTCCTTCCCGTGGGCTCTTATGGAGGCAGCCCCCTCCCTTGGACCAACACCACAGCATTCAGAGGTCTCTGTTTCCCGTGAAAAGAAAGCTTCCCGCCATCTTTCACAAGTGGCTCTTGTTCCAAGAAAGGAATGTTTGGGGAGGGGGTGGCACTCAGACCACAGACAGTGAAGGAAGCACCGTAGGGGGCTAGCTGGGGAGGGGGACTGACAGTCCCTCATGACTTGCCAAAGCATGAAAGTCCATGGGCAGCTTTAGAGAACCAGCTGAATATCAAACCTGCTTTAGAGATGCAGCACACGAAGAATAAGAATGGCTCACCATGGAGTTAGGAGGCAATTCCACTTGTCGCTTTCTTTCTCAACAGAGTCCTTAATAGATCCTGTCTACTTCACCTGGGTCCCACATCGTGTTCAGCTGCTTCTCACACACACACACCCCACCTGCCCCACCTGCTCTCTTTGGGGTAGGTGGAGTTTTTGGGTAGTTCAGGCATTTGATTGCTTCCAAGTCTTTGTGACTCGATGAGCATCATTTCTTCAAGACTGTCCATCCATAACCACTTCTTAAGAGTTCTTGAAAGCTCCTGCTCCCACCACCGGTCATAATATCAGCTCCCTGGTCTCTTCATTTGGCCTCTTCCATTTTTCTAAGCACCGCAGCCTTTTGGGATTCTCGCCTTCAACACGTGATGCCCAAATATTTCAGCTTTAGCGTCGTTATTCATTCTTCTGGTGAGCAGTGAGATTTCACTTCGCCATCTGGTATTGACTTGCTTGTCCTTCTGGAGATCCAACATAATTCCTGACTATTCTCTCCAGAACCACAGTTCAAAGGATCGGCTTCCTTTGTTTGGCTTTTCTCGTGACCCAGCTACAGAGCCATATGTTGCAACAGGGGAAACTAGAGCCCTGGCAATATATTGACAGTGTGGTGTCTCTGCAGTTCCATATTTGATCTAGATCCATCGTAATTTTTCTCACAAACAGCAGCTGTCTCTCTATCAGTGCTACAGTCAGCATCACAATACATTTGTGTGCCTGGAAAGACAAAGTGTGTTATGATTCCTCTGTTTTGAGTTGACATAATGCTCCCCTCCCCTACGAATGTTGAGCAGGAAAGTCTGGCTTTTGCGCTCTCTTCATCTGCAAAACAAAAACAAAAAAACCACACACATCCTTTTTCTCTCTGCTTGTCCTCAGCCTATCTGTGATTGTTGTGGTCTCTCACAACAAGAAATAACTTCGATTGCTTCCAGGCCAACATTTCTCTATTCTGCTTATGTGCAGCCGAGGCACACCCTTTCTCCCACTTGGGACCTTTTGGTTATTCTGTCCTTCATTCTAACTGTTGCTTCCTGGGCAACGAATCCCTTGCCGTCCCCAGGACCCCACAGCTTTAGCTATGGGGCCTCAGGTGCCCCTCTCCCTTCTGAACAAGGCTCGAACATCTGGCCATTTTCAATTTCAGGTCTGGCTGAAGTTTGAGTTGCAAAATCTTGAGCATTCTCCGACTAGACTAAGTGTGTTTCTTAGTTTCTCTCCCCTTTTCATGCTTTGGAATAGAAGTGGATCTTTACTGATCCCTTGGGTGCAGCTGCGTTTTTCACACCTGCTTACAAACAACATTTGTTATTGCAAGCCCTACACCTCACTGCACCGTAGTCGTCGTAAGATCCCCAGTACACCTCTTTCTACCTTAAGCCTTGGCTTTGCATCAGTCGCACCTGCTGCACCAGCTCTAACTCAGTCTTGGGTCTCATTTGGCAAGAGGCGGGAGGGAGGAGGCCTCTCTGTGGCCTGAATCCAAAGCCGAGGCCCCATGCTGAGCAGTGGCTGAGACGGGTCAGGCAGTGGGGTGGGAAGTTTTCCCTGCTTCCAAGGGCTACTATTTCTTGGAGCACAGAGATGGCCTCTGTCTTGGCTGCCAGGGGCTTCCGGCTGTTTCCCCAGTCTCCATGTTGTGCACTTTGCAGTGAGGAATAATCCTGGTCCAGGGAAAGGCTTCTCTGCTTGCAAGGGAGGGGAGACGGGGCCGAAAAGAGCCTTGTTTGTGCATGTGGCTTGAATGACTTTATGGGCAGACTGCAGATATGCTCAGAGACCGTGTCATTTGGGAAGCCAGCTGTTGATCGGTACTTGCTTATGGCTGGAAACAAATGTCTTCTCGCATTCGGGTGGATGGAGACAGGGCTGGTCCTTCGAAAGGAGCAGGGGAAGAGCAGGAAGAGGGGAGGACTCTGTGGAAGAAACCAGGAGGGGAAGCAGATGCTCGGGTGGAATTTGGGGTGCTGGAGAGCTCTCTGCAGTGGGAATTCTGTTTCCAAGCTATGAATGGGGCCGTGGGCAATTATGCCTAGGCTGTTTCCTAAGAGCCCAGCCCTGCCAAGAGGGAGGGAGGGAGATTCAGGGCTTAGATTTACTGAGAGGAGAACAAGGAACAGTGGAACTATCAGGTTGGAGGGAGGGGCAGAAATCTGAGCCGCTAGGAAATACTGGGAAGGAGAGGCAGGAAAACCCACCTTTGCTGTTGACTGGCGAATACCTGCCGATTTGCAGTCCGATGAGGCTTCCCAGGGAAGTAGATAGGAGCCTCCAGAGGAAATCAGATCAGTGCCTTAACACAGGGCAGCTTTGGATCTAATTGATCGATCGGTTGATTTTTACCCTGTCTTTATCGCTTTATAAGTAACTCAAGGTGGTGAACATACCTAATACTCCTTCCTCCTCTTATTTTTCCCAACAACAACAACCCTGTGAGGTTGATTGACCTGAAGTGACCGGCCCAAAGTCCCTGAGTCGGCTTTCATGCCTGAGGCAGGACTAGAACTCAACACTTCCTACATTTGAGGCCAGCAGCTTCACCACGAGACCAACCTGGCTCTCTTAGTTGTCTCCTTTCTCCTTGCCCAAAGGTTGGCAGGAGACTAACAAGAATGTTTTGCACATGTTCTTAATTAAAACTGAATCTAAAGAAAGGGGATTCGTCTCTTCCCACATTTCCCTCCCCGGTTCAGTCTTGATATTTAGGAACCACTTTCAAACGTTCTCCAGGGCAGCGGCCAATGTTTCCGTCTCAGGTCTGGCAGCTCTCCCTAAATGGAGCCCCAAGTCAGAGTCTGCCCCAGCCTCCCTCACTGACCGGCCCGAAGGCCCGAAGGAGATGGGCAGGGCGGGCAAGTACCCTCAGTCCCACCACAAGGTTTCCCTGCCCCATTGGTCTATCGGGGGTCTCTATTAAGGACCAGGCAGCTGCCTCAAAGGGGGCGTTGCAGGCTGTTGGCATCCCAGCCAGGCTCTGCAGACAAGGATGTTGGCCCAGCCTTGGGCTTGCTGGGTGGTGCTTCTTCTATTGTAGGCTGTAACACGATTGCTGACTTTTGAGGTCTCCTCTGAAGCTGTGCTCTGGACAAGGATTTTTGCCAAGCCAACAGCTAGAAAGGGCAGGCGAGGACAGGGGCTGGAGTGCAAAGGCCAGTTGCCCACAGGGCAGGGGGCTGAAGCAAGGGGCTGTCATGAGAAGATGTGGCGCCCCCTCCCCTTGTTCTCTGCCTCTGAATCCAGCTTGTTTCGTGGCCTGTTCACTGATCCAATCCTTGGAAAGCCATGTTTGCCTCCAGCGAAATGAAGAAAGCAGGGCAAGCGGTACTGGTGGAAGGAAGAGAGCGAGGGGGAGCTGGGAGCTGGCCAGAATTTTGCACGGCTCACCTGAGCTTCCGTAAACAAGCTGGCTGGGGCTGGCACCCAGAGCCTCCCAGGTGGAGGTGCAGCCTCCTACAGCTGGCATTTGCCCCTGCTCATTCCTAAGATGGGTGATAGGAAGGGCTGCAGACTTTTCCCCAATGAGGTTGCGTCAACTACAACATACCGCTGCTGTTCTGCAGAGGTCTGTGAACAATTGCTGGCTGTGAGAGTCAGGCATAGTAAGAAGAGTATCACCTGGGAATATTATGCCCCGGGGTTCCACTACACGCTGGAAGTGATTATGCGATATCCCTAAGCCATGGGCCCTGTTGCTGCTGT